TCCTAACCCAAAGTGGTGTTCAATTAGGGTTACGTTTTTCTTTTAAAAAATGAAAAAGTAAAACCAATACAATCGATAACGTTGTGAAATCAATATTTGGTTTTTCACTTTTTATACACCAATATACGTTGTGTTTTTTTTTTCATTGATAAACTACATTCATCAAAGTAAACTTGAATATCTTTGACTTTTCCTCTTTTTTTTAATGAAATCAAAAGTAAGATTTTATACGACGTTTTCATTGAATCAGTTAGATTATTGTAATGAATTAGTAGACAGAAAGTTAGAATAATTGAAGATATGTTTATCAGCTGGTCTGCTTCTTTTTTATATAAAGAAAATATCACTTTGTATATTGTCACCAGAGATTGTTTACATTATATAGTTTATCACAAGTGAAATGATGCCAATATTTTGTATTCTCTTTGGAATAGTAAAATTCTTTGAAATATTCTATACAATTCTGTTTTCATAGTTGAATTCATGAGTCAATTAATGCTAGATCACCATCGAAAACCTGGAAGCATTCTCGAGAATTCGATCCCAGAACCTTCGGTCTGGTGAGCTGGCACTTAACCTGTAAACCGTTGAGCCGGTATACAATGCTATTAACTATTACAATCTCCACAAACCTCTATTCTGATACCAATCATCATGTGCTCAATAGTGAATGGCTCCAAAATGTATTTCCTGCAGTTCTAGTGAGAAACAGTGATTAATGGAGTTCAAACGGGTCTGTTGTGAGGCAGTTACTCACTGAAGACAATAGCGGACAGTTGTGCAATCTCGTGGATCGGTTGAAGTTAAACATTAACACCGTTGGATGTCAGCTCAGTGGTCTACAGGTTAAGCGTTTGCGCACCAAACCGTAGGTACTGGGGTCGAGTCTCACGTGTAGGGTCGCGTATGCGCACTGTTGAGTGGTGCCATACTAGGACGAAACCGTTGTTCAGTGCTTTTAGGTTTTCGATGGTGTTCTAGCATTAATCGACTCATGAATTCAACTATTAAAGTACTACAATTTCCACAAACCCCCATTCTGATAATTAACTTTTCATATTAAATCAATGAACAAACAAGTTCAAACTATTTTCGATTCATTGAAGGTATTATTATTGAAATATTTCAAAGAATGAAAATCTAACTAAGGTCAATTCCATATGAAAATTCAAATTCAATTAGTTTTTTTATGAACTTTACAATAGTAATTGTGGTAGTAATAGTGACTTATTTCTAAATGACAATAATTAAGAATATTTTCAAGTGAACTGGTAAATTATTAAAAATAATTCAATCTTCAATCGATCTTTCTTGAATAAAAACGACTCTATCCTACATAATAAGCTATGGAATGTGAAATATGGATGTTAAACTTGATTGTTAATTAGTAATAACAAATAGTCATTTAAAATTTATATATTTCACTGAATGTGTTTGGTTAGACAGATATTAAAAGCCAGTAAACACTAAGAATTTGTTATTGACTTTAATATGAAACTGTTACTCTTTTCAGTAATGAAAACTTTTTATTAAAGATAGGATTATATCCTAACCTCTTCAAGTATATTCACTGAGTGATCAAGTCATTTATGTCAGCTATTTTTAAATCTATTTACTTACTTACGCCTGTTACTCTCAATGGAGCATAGGCCGCTGACCAGCATTCTCCAACCCACTCTGTCTTAGGCCTTCCTTTTTACTTCTATCCAGTTGTTGTTCATTCTTCCCATGTGTGTCTCCATTTCTCAGCATAATGTGTTGTTTGGTCTTCCTCTTTTTCTTTGGCTTTGAGGATTCCATATGAGGGCTTGCGTCGTGACTCAGTTGGTTGCTTTCCTCAATGTGTGGCCTATCCACTTCCAGTGCTTCTTCTTGGTTTCTTCGACCGCTGGGATCTGGTTTATTCTCGCCCATATTAGGTTGTTACTGATAGTATATGGCCAACGGATCGGAAGTATTTTGCGTAGACAGCTGCTAATAAATCTAACTATTCTAAAAATAAACAATCATTTTTATAAAATTTTCACAATTCTAATTTCAGAAAATAGATATATGTTACAGTTAACCAATGATCATACTTTTTAGTGGAAATGTGAATCAGCATGAGCAATGAATAACACTTAAAGTTATTAATTAAAATATTTATTAGTTAGACGAAAAGAAATGAAAAAAATAGCTGTGGTGAATACGATATTACATAACCATCTATGGGAACAGTATTAAACCTAATGAGGAAATAAAAGAGAGCAGAAATCCAGCTTGGAAGACCATAAATCTTTAATTTAAATAGAAAATGAATTAGATACTTATAAAATATTACAAAAACGTAGATAAATGATGTCATATTGATTCATTACCTATATCGTTTGGGATTTGTTACCATCCCCTACCTCAATGTGTTATTCGAGATAACATAGGAGTAGGCTATAAAAAAATTAGAAGTCGTTAGACCAAGCCATAGCAACAGTCTATCAAATGATAGAGTAAGACTGAGCCACGTATGTAAGGGCTGGTCAAGGTTTGCATAATAACTATAACTAGTGGTAAGTGGTGTTAAAAAGTGTTAGCGGGATATAAATTGGATTGAAGCATGTTGCGTGCAGGATTATTTTGATGCACGCTGATCGACTTCTTCTCATCCAATCAGCGCCAGTAGATACCTAGAGAACACTCTAGAATCTTCTCATGTAAGTGTTTTCCTTATAGTAATTCCTACTTCCATCTACCCTTATTATTTGGAGCATAACTACGTTCCTGTTCAACCGTGTTCTGATTTGGGGACTTGTCGAGTGAAGTTATGTCCACGAATGTTAAGCAATAAGAGTAGCTGGATCGTAATAAGAGAAATTATGACAAAAAGCTAACTACCAATATTCATACATACTTTCCAAACTGTATTCTTAAACACCCGATCTTTTCTATAATCATTGTTGATACTATTATTTCAACTACTTTGTTACTGATCTCGTCGTTCGGTTGCATGGCGCTCTGAGCAGACGCACGTTTGTGCCGGGCATTACACCGATTACGACTAACTGTTCAGTAATCAATTTATTTACAGTTCTGTGCAAAATTAACGAACAATAGTAGGCATAAAATGACAAAGATAATTTATTTCACAACTGTCAGGATAAATTTTTTCTACCTAAACGGCAGATTGTCAAACAGAGCAGCTTGTCTTAAAATGTGATACGAAATGGAAAATACGCATATATTTTTCATATAGACTTCATAGAAAGTTTTTACTCTATTAAAAAGTATCAGTGTTATGTTTTAGCATACTTTATACAAATCTGTTTAGAATTAATTCAAGTAATGATCTCACTATGGGAAACAATAGAGAAGAGAATATTTACCCGAGAAAGTTTTAGATTTCATGTGTCTTTACTTAAGTAGATGTAAGTACCATAAAACTCTATACAAAACATTATTTGCTAGGTTAATGACTGAACAGAAAAAAATGAAGACCACGCTTGCGGACAAGCAGTCCCCAAGTTTAGTTGCGCAGTCAGTAAGTACTATCGAATCACATCAATTCCACATCCAAACATTAATCACCAAAGATGTGATTAGAAATGAGGACTTGGATTACCGTATTCATTTGAACCGAATTAGATAAACGAAATAGCTGTGTACTTAAAACTAATCCCGAAAATCTTGAAACTCGCAAGATTTTGCAATGTTAAAACTGATGTTTTCCTTGATAGGGGCTTTTAAATATTGCACATTTAAATCTTAGTTTAATTGACAGTCAGCTTTTGAATAATTTTCTGTGAGAGTTCCTGTTATAAAATTATTTGGCCAATATAACGAACAAGAAAAATCATCCTAGCACTTTGTGTTAGTCCTCATAGATAGCCATATTTGTACACCCTTCTATGTAGATATGATCGGACAAAATTAAGCTTTGTAGCCAAGTCTTAATTCCTTTAGAAAATGACTATCTATTGTTAAACGATATTTAGTTGTTTGTTCTTTTATTACTCTTATTTTATCTTACGACTGAAGAATCATATTCCAGTGCCGATTAGTCTTGTCTCATTACGTCAGTCCATTATAGGACTTGGATCAGCAACTCCGTTTACCGAGCACTTGTCATTCAACTATTCTGTACGATTAGGTTTCACCTATCAAATAATCAGAGTTGGATAATGGCGCATGTTCCATCCTATTTGCGACTCGTCAGTTGGATGTATCTGCATCCCAGAGTTGGCGTTTACTTTGGAACCTGAACTTAGTACACCTCGCATCAAATGCCACCACACTACCCACTTAGCTACTGAGTCCAAACAGACAGTAACTTGTGCAATAGAAAGAATTTTAATCCGTCTTTACAACCCGAAAATGTTCATAATTCGATAAACCCTCATTTACACAAGAAATGTTTTGGAGGGTTCAACTTAAAACAATTATTTATCACACATGGATATTAAACCTTGAGAGGGCACAGAAAAAACTAGAATAATATTTATGAAGAGAAACCAGTACTCTATTTTCCAAAATCTAGATATGTGCCGTCGATCCGACCCAAATGAATTTTGTCGATTAAACTTTCATTTCTAAAATTTCATATCGAACTCTCTAATGAATGAACAAACCAGGGAAAATATTTAATATCAAATAAACTAGTTACAATGTAATTGTAGACAATAAGCAGCCTACCATATCGATAATGGTTTTAACATCAGAAACCCAGAACCGAAGATTGCTCGATACCAGGTAGTGCCTAGTTGCCACACAGCCCAACAAACAAAACTAGTTTTATAAATTGTCCACGTAACGACTACCAACGAAGTTGACTGGATAGAAAACACAACAGATACTGAGTGCGTCAGTGTGAGGTAACAGTCGGTAGCTATTTAGTTTTACCAAATAAACTGACCTAAAATTAGAAACAGTCAGCGACATAACTACTGACAAAGACACGCCGTTGATAATTCATAAGAACAGACACTTCGGAATTTCGGTAGAATAAACTGATGAACAGTTCAACTGTATTAACGTTATTTTTTACTAAAATCCCATCACCCTATCAACCGATAAGCGAAAACTGGATCTATAGACCCCTGAATGAGAACTCAACACTGCAATGAATTTAATACAAAAATCGCTTTTAAATTGGTTCACGTAATTAGGAAAGATAAAAAGATAAATATTAATCCAATTTCTAATAGACATGTAATTAATTTAGTTGCATCAACAATCTCATTACCAACTCATTAGTTAGATGTTAACAGTAAAAAAAAACACAAAACTAATGTTGAAACAATTCCAGTAAAACAAACAAGTCGAACTACATTATAAGTTAACTACAACGAGAAAGTTGAAAAATATTATCCACTAGAAACTCAATCACATTGATTTCATATTGCGACCGTTGAATGTGATTTTCCTGAGTTTAATATAATACTGAAGATGGCATAAAAGTTTGCACTATAGACGAATCCACAGGAAAAATCAAGAGCAGTCAACCAGAACCATCGAATATTTGCTCCAGTTTAAATCATATTAAAATTTAACAGAACACATTGAAACCATATAAGTAATAATTCATTTTTAGCTAAATACCCGCAGTCTATTGGGGGAGATTTCGTTAACCTGTTATAATAGTAACTTAAATCGTTACTAAAATTGTTCATCTGTAGGCCCTATGTTCAAACCCCAAACCACGTGTATAAAAAGAAAGAACAATAGAGAAAAAAATCAATGAGCAGAAACTGACAAAATTTCAATATAAGAACCATTATCATTATTCATTACACAAAAAATAGACTATACAAAGAACGCAATAAGGAGAACTTTCAAGCATTAGAATATAAATTATTCAACAATGATGATAATAATCCATTTAACACATTCCATTGTTTTATTTTCGACATCGAACAAAAAGCAAAATTAATAAAACAGCAGAAGTAGAGGTACAAAAAACAAAAAAAAAGAAAATGGAGGATCAATGGAGAACGACGGCATACAACTACAGTAACTTTATCATAACTAGGCGTGTTGAAATTTCAGCGGTGTTAAACGGCTCTTCAATACAGGTCTTTCTATGTGTACATAGAGATGTATTCATGATCAGGTAGTGAAGATAAGAAAGAATATAACTCAAGTAAAAATTACGTAAAAACTAAATCAGAAAGAAAAATCAAGACAATTAATTTTGTTTTTGTTTCTCAAAAAAAAATGAACAAAGACTGTGAATGAATTGCATAGAATGTGAAAACCCACTAAAACTGAAGAACTAACACACGCACACAAGTTTAATTTTCTAACAGACTTACAACTAGATAAAAATTATGACATAAAATGATAATATCTTTACAAAGGATGACAATTTTCTGGTTATGAACACCTGATTTCTATCATAAACCTCAAAGTTTTATAACTACTAGTGATGCTGTTGAGTAATAATGCTAATTGGATTGGTATGAACACTGTGAACAACAGTCACAAGCCTCAGAGTTACTACCAAAGATTAAATTTAGAGGAATTATGGACGAAGGTCGTGGCAAAATGTAGAGTATGATAATGCTTTGATTTATGGAAGTAAAATCTATTAATATCCCAAAGTTAATTAGCAGAAGTGAAAAAACTGAGTAGAAAATATGTGTCAACACAAGTTGATGTGTTAGAAGTAATTACATGCAATAAACATGTAGTAGGTTTTCGATAATAAAAATCCCCAGGATATATATAGCATGACAGCACCGGTGAGAGACAATACTGAAGTGTTTCTGAATTAAATAGGGAAACATGAAGTGTGGGTGTGTATGCATGATAACAGAGAAGCGACTATACTCCAACTCCTAATGTAATCAAATAATCAGATGAAAACCACTCAATCTGAAAGATAACGTTATATACGCTTGACAACGATTTCATTTTTATCTAACAACAATTCCATTCTAAATAAACAATAAATTAAATTAATCGTAAGCAGAGCAATTACATTGGTGGTGAGTAGTAAAAACAGAACAAGAAAAATCAGAATTATTGCAGAAAACAAACTTTTTCTCGAAACAAAAGTAGAAAGTTTAAGAATAACGACCGTGTGAAGCAGTAATAGACTGATGATAGGTTGGGGTGTTCCCACTACTACCACAAACTGGAAGAAAACACGTCGATGATACTGACGATACAGTGTTAATACTTTTAGTTGGAGTAGTGGACGTAATATTACTAAAACTATTACTATTATTATTACTTTCGTAAGGGATCACTGATTTAACACCAGGATGAACAAAAGGTTGCGTAAGATAATGTTTCTCATGTTCGTTTTTAAATATTGGATGACTACCATAATGCTCGATGAGATCATCAATACAATTGAATACTTTCTGACCAATATGATATTGTCCTTTCTCAACATGTACTTTGAAATTTCTTGTTTTATTGCCTGCATTGATAGTTATAGTCAAATCCCCAGGCTATTGTATAAATCAGTATAAATAAATAAGAAAAATAAGTTAAGTTTTATTATATGTTTATTTTATGTATGCAGGTGAAGTAATGAAATCAATTTATTAAGTTGAATAAAAAACAGTATAACATGAAATTCTACCATAACAGTTTACATGCTGTGAAGTTGATCAATCTATATTTTGTCATGTTATACACATACAAAACTCACTTACCAAGTTGAAAAGTTTAGAAATCCAGCGTTTAGCTGCACTACTAAATATGTGAATAATTAATTATACTACTCGTCTACCTAAACCAAAGTTGATGAAAAGGGGTTCGGATGTTTCACTCACTGATTGAAACCAATAACTTCTATCAGTAAGTTACTGTACATCCTCAAGAGGGGTACTAAATTATTCATACATAAAACAGAGGTGTGATAGCATAGACAAAGTATATTGTACTTAAGCAGTTGACCAGTATACACATATAGCGTACCCTACAGCATCTAAGTGTAAAATACTAACTACTACAAGACTAGCAGAATATAATGCAGACAACCACATTTTGTGGTAAGCCGCTGGGAATAGTCAAAAAGTTCATGTGAATAGATAGTTGTGTTAATGACTGTGGTACTACGGTAGAAAACACTTTTCTTTGTATAGACTAAACTACAGAGGTTTACATGAATCAGAATTAGCTTTGACTTCAAAGTGACGTTACATCGGCCATTAAAGATCAGAAGCACAATGCTGCGATACAATATTACTGCTTCACAGAGATTAAATCCGCCACTTCTAAACTAAGAACTTTTGACGGATATGGATTGGTTTTGTGACACGACTGTGTTCAAAGAATCTCTTGCAGTCGGCAACAACACCAATTTAGTAACGTTAAAGTACAATAATCCATGTACACAAACTTTTATTGCAGACTTGTGTTAAAACAAAATTATACAGATATATTGCCAAATCTGATAACATAAAAACCATAACCTTCATAAATTTTGCATCATATAACTGTTCATTTTAAATTTAATCGGCAGATATGATCGACAATCAAAAGACCAAGTGTCTATCTATACATCAATAGTATGAAATAATAAAATTCCTGATTATTTATCGTTCTTTTCCAAAAGTTAAAACATAATAATCAATACACAGTATATTTTCCGAGAAATAGTTTACTCGTCGGTTGTCTAGTGACAGAGCACATAAGCATCCATACAAATAAATAGTATATATATATATATATATATATATATATATATATATATATATATATATATATATATATATATATATATATTCATACTTCCTCTCAATAAATATTGATCTACATTAGATGGTCTGTCTGAAATATGAAGAAGAGAATTACATTTATTTTCTTTTTTGGCATAAATCACATCTCGGAATTCAACAACATAATAGCAGCCTCTTTATTGTTATTACTATTATACCAGTTCCAATAGCAATAACGGTAATAATAATAATGATAGTGGCAACACAGTTTGCTTGATGGCTATACCCCCACTCGCAAAATAAGTTGTGAACTGTAATTTTTCCCATATATCTATCGTTGTTATACTATTTACCCAACTGTGCATATTTTTTGTGCATCAGTAACTAATAATTAGATTGGATTTGTAAAGCATTGACCAGTGGATTAGAAAGTAAAATGTAATTGCCCAATATGATGGAGGAAAAAAATTATTTCAACAATAATAGTAGGCATAAATTAAGTTACAGACAATGGTAGATCGAATATTCTAGGTTTTGAGGTGATTTTCATACCACAAAATGAAATTGACTGGAAAATTGTTAAAATTTGTGAAGTACTAGGTCACATCTTTGGTTTATTTTGGGATTCTTCAACAATGCCCACAGTAACTATCTTAGACGAAATTTAAAATATGAATTTTAGTTCTCACAATAAGCATTACAACATTCAATTAATAAATTTAAGATACTACAGTAAAAATCTCCAAATTTCAGAAAAACAAGAACAAACTTGTTTAGTTTAAGCTGTTTCGCAATGGCCTCTGAAAAACTACTCAATAAGATCGAGGTTCTTTGTTCATTGATTATCGTGAAGGATTTTGAAACATCAACATCACATACACTGTTTCAGCAGTAGTGCAATTGTTCATCATTTGCTTAACAGTGGACGTCACATAATAGAACATATTTGCGTTACAACTAATTCACGTTACTCATGAAAACTTACATGTGATTCACTATCGCGAACGATGAATTCACCAGGTAAAGAATGTTTACCTAACATCTCTTCACATTCAGCGCGTGAAATAATACCCCAAAACCATGGTCGATTTATATGTAAGCAACCTGTACTAGACTGTGTAGCATAACTTAGCCTCAATGTTTCTCCATCAGTAGGCTGTGACTTATTTGTTACTGTATAACTTGAATTAGTCGCAGACACCTGGTTACTTCGAATAGAATGGCCAAAATTTGTAGACTGACAAGATAATGGCTTGTGATTTGAACCGAATGATTTGCTTAGTGTTGTAGTTGCAATTGCTGGTGTTGTGAAAGCAGTAACATAATTATGTGGTACCAGACCACTTTCACCACGAGTATTACGACAATGCCACCAAGCTGGATCATCAGGAGGTTTGTTAAGTACTTCCAAGACCTCGTTTTCACCAAAAGACAGCTCTGCTACATGACTACGTACAAATGGGTAAAGAGTTACAACAGTTTCATGTTGCTGTTGCTGACCTTCATGACTAGGTGGGTCGTTATTACGTACTAGTAATTGCGGTTGTTGATGTACTTGTTGTTGGTTTTCTGTAATAGAACCAGGATTCAGAGAATGTTGTTGTTCATAATATTGATAAGCTAAGTATTGAGTAGGAATTTGATCTTGAGTATTTGAAATGTTTGGTACAGACAAATCATTTGCATCCCGATTAAGTGTACTTGAATTTAATATACTGGGTTGTGAACTACTTCCAGATCTGTAACGTTACGTGGAAAAACAATATAAATAAATATTTAATGATTTGGTGGACATATTATACGCATTGATCATGATGTGAAAAGCTTGTTGGCAATATCACTAGTTCGACCTAGATTTTCAAAATGAATTTTGTACTCCAAGACTGTTGAAGCGTTGAAATCAAAACCCAAAGCCTTTTATCAATTCATACTGACAATTCGCGTTTGATTAAACCACTGGTGGTGAAATTGACAGTTTATTCAAATTTAAAGTCTCAATAGATAGAAAGATTTTGATATGCCTTTGATTACATGCACAATAGTTAAGACCTAACAGCCAGCTGAATATTACAGTTTAGACGGTATGACATCTTAAAAGCAGTTGAAAAAGCTAGAACTCAATATTTCCTTCATTTTTAGTCCCTGCTTGTTTGAACTAGAAGTGTTTTTAACAAGTGCTTCGAGTTGTAAAAAACTTATGACAATAAAAGAACTGTGGGGAAGTAGAAATGTACTGTAAATAAAAACAATGTGAATTAGTATTTTGTAAATCGTCTACAATTTAGTATACGATGTATAGACATGCAACAAGAGTTCCGTTCGTTTAAACACAGACAACTGTCTTTAGTAATTTATTGGAACCGAGACAATGTGCTTCCTTAAATTGTCACAAGTATGAATCAAACAAACAATACTTAGTATGAAGCAAAAAAGAGTAACATTTTTGTTAAATGGTTGTGGAGCATAATTTAAAATACTGAGAATACTGACTAAAGATTTTGTGGTGTTATTATCAAATCGACGACAATAATAAGAAGGAAGAAGCTAATAATGATAGCTATCTTGTGTTTAAATATCCTTCCAATAGTTTAAGTGTCCTGAAAATAAAATAACTTACGAACATTTCTAACAATCTTAAATACTTCGATTTACTAACATTGAATGTTTGCAAATGCCTATTTTAGACCATTTTACTAACTAAGTTTTCATCTTAAATTTAAACGACAACGACTGAACCAATAGGATGTTTAGTTTCTAACTTAAGCTATATACAAGTAAAACCAAGCAAAATGAATGTTTCTACGTTTTATTTAACGTTAGTTATATGTGTAACTCCGCCTGCAGCCTTTCTAGAGCCACTGCCGCTCCCAATTCCGGATAAAAGAGGAGGATTTGGCATAGAGTCAACAACCTCATCCCTTAGAAACAAACATTGCTAAAACACGCTATCCAGGATAAACAATCTAAACCATTCAAACTCTGAACTCCGAATTGAAGGATCTTCATTTGGAAGTTATGGCGCCTGATGACGAAAGCCGAGATTCTGCGGATGTCACGAGGCTGATGTCTCTTCTAACAAAATAACAGTTAATATAGGTAGACGGAATGTCCAGACAGTGTGGCAGATTGGGAGGATCAACCAGATACTTGCAGAAATGGGGAGATGCAACTTAATGATGCTCGGAATAAGTGAAACCCGTTGGACAGAAAATATCAGATTTGGGAGAGCTGCATCCTCCAAAACAATGGAGGGGATTATAATGAAGGTTATCCAGTGCTACGCACCAACCAATGACAGCAATGAAGATGATAAGGATTAGTTTCAAGAGAGGCTGTAGTCGATCGTAGAGGTGCTCATGAAAAAGACCTGACCATTCTGATGGGAGATCGAAACGCTCAAGTCGGAATGGGCAACACCAGATATGATGATATAATAGGACGACATGGACTGGGAGAAAGAAACGAGAATGGAGAAAGATTTGCAAATTTATGCGCATTCAACAAAATGGTTATAGGTGGCACTATATTTCCCTACAGGCCCATACAAAAAGCTATATGAGTCTCACTGGATTGCACTACACAGAACCAGATTGATCACATTTGTATCCACTAAAAATTCAGAAGGTCAATGGAAGACGTGACAATAAAGACAGGAACTAACATAGCTCCAGATCACCAACTGGTGGTTACCAAGATGAAGGTAAAGCTAAACAACTACTGGACAATTGGAGAAACAGCATTACGAACGTTTGACACAGCCTTCCTTCGACATCCTGACCAACTCAATGAATTTAAGATAGCTCTCAACAGCAGGATCTACTCAAAAGAGGAAACTTATATGGAAGACAACTGGAAAGGGATCAAACAAGCACTAACTTCAACGTGTTGTTGCTACCTTGACGTGGTGGTCGGGCTTGCCTATCGTGATGAAGCAACCGAGCTATACTGGCTGGAACAACTGTTCCTCAAGGTCCTACCATGTCAGACATGTCGGTTGAAGAGCGGTAAGACTAAAAGCAACAAACCCAAGGTCCGAAGGCGAAGTCGTACTGCTGACTGTACAGAGGTGTGACAGCAGTAAGGTGTTTCCTTCAGACAACCAGCATGACAGCGATGCTGCCTTCCCACAAGGAGGGGTGGGGTTAGAAAAGGTCGACCCTAAAAATGCACACCTCGCCTTATCCCACGGATATCTGTCTCCGGCGGTAAGGTCCCAAAAAGTACGGAGCTAACACAAAAATTACCCATAAAAAGGTCGTGTGTGACCGACCTCAAGCAGTTGTCCCTTGGGCACTGCGGTCACGCTCCCAGGTCACTAAGACCACCCCTAATCCAATTTCCTTTTCAGGTACCTCCGGAACAACCCTTCCACGGTGTGGGCAACCGGGAAGTGATAACCGCCCTCATACCTCTAACAGCACTCAAGACCACTGTATTCCGACTGAACTTCAACGTGTCAAGATATTCTGGACCACAAGAGAAATCATCATAAGAAATGAATCTCTATCGAAACCCTGGTCTGCATTCAAGAAAGAAAGATCAAGAAAACAGCAATTAATAACAGCCGAACAAGAGTAGAAAAAGCTAAGACACAGACCGAATACACAGACTCAAACAAGAGAGTGGAGAGGAGCATTAGATCTGATAAGCGGAAACATAGGAGATCTAGCAATCGCAGCAGAAAAAGCTACAAGAGAAGGAAATATGAAACAATTACATGATACAACGAAGGAATTGACAGGGAAATATAGTAAACCGGAGCGACCAATCAAGAGCAAAGAAGGTAAGCCAATCACTGAAATTCAGGAACAGTGGAACAGATGAGTAGAGTATTTTCAAGAACTCTTGAATAGACCAGCTCCACTGAATCCACAAGACATCGAAGCAACACACACCGACCTTCTTATAGATGTCACACCACCTACAATCAAAGAAATCAGGATGGCCATCAGAAAAATCAACAATAGGAAAGCAGCAGCAGCTGACGACATATCAGCTGAAGCACTGAAGTCACACATAGAAGCAAGTGCAAACATGCTCCACGTCCTATTCAGGAAGATTTGGGAGGAAGAACAAGTGCCACCGACACACTGGAAAGAACGAAACCTCATCAAGCTACCAAAGGAATGAGATCTGAGCAAATGTGAGAACTAGAGGCATCACACTACTATCGATACCAGGAAAAGTTTTCAACAGTATTGCTGAACAGCATGGAAGATTAAGTAGACGTCCAGCTTCAGGATCAATAGGCTGGATTCCGTAAGGATCGGTCGTGAACAAACCAAATCGCGACACTACGGGTCATCGTTGAACAATTAATTGAATGGAATTCGTCAAATTTCTCTACTACGAGAAAGCGTTTGACAGTGTAGATAGGAGAACCCCATGGAACCTTCTTCGACACTATGGTGTACCTGAGGAAATCGTCAATATCGTCCGGGATTCATACAATGGACTACACTGCAAAGTAGTGAATGGGAGACAGCTGACAGATGCATTCCAAGTGGGGATTGGTGTCAGACAAGGCCACTTACTCTCGCCCTTTCTCTTTATTCTGGTAGTTGGCTGGATTATGAAGACCTCTAAATCTGGGGCGAAGCATGGAATACAATAGACAGTTTCGATGTAGCTAGACGATTCGGACTTCGTAGATGACTTGGCTCTTCTATCCCATACACACCAACCACCAACGAAAATGGTGCAAATATTTATAAACAATTGCGTACGCAAGATACTTAATGTCCGCTGGCCGGATACCATTAGCAACAACTTACTGTGGAAGAGAACAAACCAACTTCCCGATGAAGAGGGAATTAGGAAAAGACGTTGGAAGTGGATAGGAGATACATTGTGGAAATCATCAGATTGCATAGCGAGGCAAGCGCTAACTTGGGATCCTGAAGGCAAGGGGGAAGAGGAAGACTAAGGAACACATTGCGTCAAGAATCGGAGGCAGATATCAAAAGAATGAATAGAAACTGGAAAGGATCGCCCAAGACAGTTGGTTGGAGAATGCTGGTGGGCGGAGTATGCTCCTCCACGAGGAGTAACAGGTGTAAGTAAATAAGTATATGTGCAGGTTACAACGTAATCAAAACACGCTTAATGTTGTTGTACTGAGATTTGCCTGGCCACTACTAATCTATATGTGCTGTTGTGAATCTTAATATATATAATAGTAGACAAATCCGACCATTATATTTCCTATCATTTAACTAAATATCAACAACGATCAGGGTCCTAAAGGATCATTTTCCATTTTATGTTATATACTCAGTTTTTGTTCAAAATTTCCAAATCAAAGCTTGTTGGAAAATTTGCTTATCAAGGCTGTATTGCTTGTACACCCTAAAGCAATTAGCATGAGTTATGAAGAAGTTAAACTTAGACATATTTATCTTTAAAAACATGGATAATATGAATTCTATGAATTCGGATTCGAACTTTTGGGTAAATTTTTAAAGTCCCAAAATCACGAAACAAAGTAATCAAACATTAGGAAAAGTTAATAATTTACGAAATACTAACACCTATTTATTTTGAATAATCGTTTACTTTTATTTGTATTATTCGTTCCATCTATGTAAAAAAACACTGCTGTGACAGTATTGTAAAAAAGAAAACAAGTTGATGTAACATTGACATCCACCTATTCAAACACGTTGTCAATATTGAGTCCAACTATTTGAACTGTCTAATTGTATAAAACCATGTTTATCGGATTGTTTGAGTCCTAGAGCTTATATATAGTAACAAATAAATTCTATCCAGTGACCATAAAATGAAAACTTAGCTACCATTATGCTCTAAAAACTATATCAGTTGAACTGCTAAATTAAATATAACATCTAATAAACAAATAAAACTTTAATTATATTTAATATATTTACAGGTTCAAATGATTTAGAAGCTGAAACTTTTTACTTCAAAACCTATCTACTACTCTTAATCTTCCGTGAAGTCATCAACAATTTTTTTTCAGCTTTTCAGCTATTTCCATCCTTGATCTATCCCTCTCTGCTTATTTACTATACTTTTAACATTATTTTGTTATCGATTTATTTTCCATATATTCCAAAATTCATGTGGGTTTTTTTTACTTTAAATGTTAATCTTTTAGAGCTAATTTTTCTGCATAAACTAATCGATCACATTCTCCAACTTCTTATTTATTTACCTTTGGATAGGTTATTTTATGCAGTCCCATGGCTTCTAGTTTCCGCCCCCGTTCTCGACATTAGAGTAATTACCATTAACAGAACATGGTTTAGTTTACCGAAACTAAAAGAGTCTATATGTAACATAAACACATTCAAATCTAGGTGATTGATTAAAAAAGCAAATAATAGGAGAAGCTTGAAAAGTCGTGGTCCAAAGAGAAAAAGCACAATTAGGTAGTAATGTAAATTAGAACGTTTTATTACAATTTCCACTGTAAACAGTCTTTAAATACACTAATAATCATCATTTTGAAACTCACCAAGTACAAGTTTGTGTTCTTTACTACTACACATTTTTTGTGTGGGTTAAATGATACTATCCGAATACACACACTAAGTGACATAAGTGAACATCCCACTTAAAGTCCCTTAGTTGGTAATCAACATGAAATAAAATGGTCTGCCACTTTAAAATAAATATTTAAAAGCACACTTTCACAATTTAAACGGTGTATAACAGATCAAACGAGCACTTTAATTATTAATTTACGCTCGAGTTATGTCAGTTATATTTTAAGTAGAGAGCGATTTCTATTTGACAGCATTCCATGGTAATTAAGTTATGTCACAAACCAAATAGGTACGAAACACCTGTCCAATGATTCATTAACATAATTATGACCCTACGGCTGATATTGTTAGTCGATGACTAGAAAATATCTCAAAACTCTACGAATGAATAAAATAGAACCAAAAACTACTGACCTGTTCAGATTTTTTGATAAATCCAATGTGACATAATTTGATGGAAACCATCCCATTCGCTGTGGTTTACCTTCGGTAATTAGAATACCACGCCACCAACCATCTGAACTTTTTTCCAAAACACGAATTTTATCGCCTCTTTCAATTGACAATTCATCTGGTTGACAAGCAGGGTAATTGAAACGTGCTTGACATATTTGACGACCTAAACCAGTTCCAGTGCCAAAATAGGACGTATTATTTAAAGTTCCTGTCATAATATTAGTAGTTTGCTGGAACAGTGATAAGGAAACATTTACAGCGCCATGTCCATTTTGAAAATTTGGTATGGAATGCTGATTAAAAGTAGTTTGAATAGTAAGAAACGGAATTTGAACAAGTTTAATGAAGTTAATAAACTTGAAACAACTTATCAATCTGTCGAACTTTTAACCAGACGTCTAACCCAGTATGACTTGTTCGTGATAATCACTTTAAACTCATGATAAATTGTTAAATAAAAATGATTTAATGAGCACTACTTTTATCGTACAACTCGATTGCGATTGTAGTACGAAAGAAAAAATGGTTAACTTTGTTAACGTCTTAATGAGTCTTTTGAAAATTGTTTGGACAGAACACCTTGTTTCATGAAAACGAAAAGTAAATTTGATAATTCTAACACATTTATATCCCCAAAATATACCATATTTCCTAAGAAAGATTATAACACATTTGATTGATGTCTCTAAAGAGACCTACATTTATCTAAGCACCAGTTATTAGATTATGTCCATGAGTGTTTATCAAATTAGTGATAGATTTATACACAATACAGGTTACCAGTCTTTTTATGGCTTCCACTGACCGAATACATTTAAACTTTGATCAGATAGAGCACATGGTGTTTTGATCCTAAACGGTCTGCTTGATATTAATGAACCGGCATTTTTAGTTGCTTGATGATTTTCTATTTTGTCACAAATACCTCTGAAGTATCTGCTGGTATTCTGTAGCAATACTTTGATGAGGTTAAATGAAATAAGATTTCAGCATAAAGGACTTCCACAACCAGTTTCTAAATTTGTTTTGAGGTGTCGATTTAGATAATATGAACTTTGAGGAACACAACTGCTTTATCTTACATACCAGCCGTTTTTGTAATATCATTTTTCAGATGAAAATTTCTTAGCTCTTAACACTATTATTACTTGACTTCACACGTCATTGTGATCCACGATACCATGATTTCGTGTTTGTATGAATTATTTAGTTGAGTGAGGTTATTCATACAACTCGACTAATATCATAAGAATTACCTGGGGGTAAGCTTGTCTTGCATCAGATTTCGACAGCCAGTTAACTGATTCACTATCAACCGTTTTATTTGCATCTTGAAATCTTTTCGCGTGTTGAACGGATATCTGATTATTTAAGGGGATAGAAAAGCTGTCAGAGATTCCTTCCTGAAGTCTCATATCCGCAAATGCTTGACTTGGAGGAATTAAAATGCTTGTAGACGCAGATGTGCTGACAACTTTAGCTCCAAGGGACTCTGCACTTTCGTGTCGTAAATCAAAAGCTGAAAAGCCATTACTCCCATCCGGGGTAGGTGAAGAAGGATTGGACTGTCTAGTGCTTGTACCTTCCTGACGATTTTTCCGGCGTCCCAGAGTATTTCGCAAACTTGAAAATATACCCTAAGAACGTAACGCCATCTATAAATAGTAACAAGTACTTACTTGTTTTGAACGCTTGACATAATTGCTAGGGACATAGCCAGTCTTTCCAAAGGAATTCATCACCTTCCACCAATGTTGGCTATCATCGATAAGTGTTAATTTTTCACCTTTTTGAATTCCAAGCTCATGACTATCTGATGCCTCATAATCAAATTTCACTATCACAAAATCCGTATTTTTATGAGACATTACCTTGCAAAAAATGTATAGAACATTAGCGATTATAATAATAGTAATAAACAAAGTAATTAAATGAATGAGCAGAAAACTTGGAGAATATTTATGACGATTATACCACACATTAATCTCGGAAATTACACTCTGAGTTAGATAGTATTTGGTTCCCTTAACTCTAATAGATGGAAGGGGCCATGGATTTATAAATGTATGGTTAGTATGTGACTAAACTAAAAACTCTCCTTAGAACGGAAGTAGACAATTCATAAAAATTACTGTTTAAGCTACCAATATAGTGCGGCACATAAACTGAGACCACTAAAAATCATGTAAATTATAAATTATGTACAGGTTACTGTACACGGTAATAATTATGATTTATTCTGAGTATCAGTGATGCTGGTTATCCAACGCTTGGAAGATAAGGAGACGATTGAATCCGCCAATTAAAAGTAACGTAGCTAAACCAACGATCCACAAATCAAATAAATATGTAGTGAGCAGAGATGTTACTGTCAACTAGGTACATATAATGACCGTAAACATAAGATAGGAGTCGGTTGAATACAATACTCAGGTAGAGAAAATAGTTAAAACGGTCTGTTGGGTTGGGTTCACCATATTTATATTTTCTTATCGTTCTTCTTAACACTTCTAGCTTTTTTGAGGTGTTTGAGATCTTCCTGGATGATCTCAGAATGCCAAAACTGACAAAACCCACTTAACTCCGATAACATGGAATGGATAAAACAACTAGCTGTGTAATCTATCGCAACATGTGACCTTCAGTCATTCGTAAACAACGTAGAACCCGGTACATATGTGCATCAGCTCAGGTTACTACGCAGCATAGCAGTAGTAACAGTATCAGAAGTAAGAAAAATAGACACAGAATATATGACTATCGAAGGAAATACGAATCCATGGAACATAAGTATAAAACAACTTCAAAATTCAGGATCTAAGGAAGACAGTGTGAATGCGGCACGATGAATAGTTTCGATTCATGTAATCGAACATCTTTAACCACTGGTTAAAGGACTCCAACCAGATAGTCTGTGCCAACCAATGAGACTAAGTCCAACAGTCAATGGCGTCATGAACCCACGTCCCATCTTGGTCTAGCAGGGCCTAATTTTCCTCTGATTTACTCCTACAATAGCCAACATTGCACCTCAAGGTAGGCAATGATTGAAGAACAAATATCTCTGCCACCCGAGTTGACGAAGATCCCCTACAATGTAGTCAGAACCTGAGCGGTTACTACATGTACACACATACTTCCCAAAGACTGAGCAAGGTAAGTCTCATTTGAGTCTTGGGATGAAATCGCACAACGCATTAGCCATAGCTATCAGAAATTTACTAAAGTCAACAATAGATTGTGGTTCGTACAAGCTGTAAATGAAACTCATTACCGAACATATAAGGTCTCCACTGTCTGTCTAAACGGTAATTTACCAGGGCTACACATCAAAATTTATCGGATGCGATCAGGCTGCAATGTGAAGCAAATATGGAGATGAACATGAGTTTCTGTTTCTGATCTCAATTAAATTTAACTCTAATTAAGCCCGTTTCGGACAACTACAAATGGGGACCCAGTCCACTAGTGTTACTTTAGTACTAGAACTTATAGCAACACGAACTAAAACGGCTGGCATCAATGTTACACACCCTTAGAAATTTATCCACGAAGCAGGATTTTTCCAATAGAAATTGAGAAACATTGTAATAATTCATTAGGATATAAAATCGAAATAGTTAAGAACTAGGAAATTTCAACGGCGAGAGTTTTCATGGCCCCAAACAGATCAGCCTAATGTCCAGTCAACTTTGAGCACTTCAAGCTTAAGTCTTTCACGTCATATATATATATATATATATATATATAACGATAGGCACAAGAAATCTAACTATTCATATAACCTGACCAGTGTTGAGTTCTGGTAGGTAAAAATTCATGCCACACGTCAACCAGTGTTTATGATGCAGTAAAAGATGAATTACGAAAGAGCTGACCAAACAGTATATATTTAGACCTATTTACCAGCTATCAGAGTATGAGCCATACTGTGTGAGGGCTAGTGACACTATCTGGCCACCAAGAATGAAGTGGGAGGAGCGGGTTTAAAATGTGGGACAGGTAGAACCCGCTGACTACTAAGTAGACAGTTTGTTATTTTCGCACTTGAACGACTGTATCATGAGTCAAAAGCCCGGACAGATACCTTAAAAAGTGTAACACTTCCATTCCATGTTTAGAGACCCGTGGTCATACACTTATCAGTTTTCTTTATTGAAATAATCATATCGTTATCTTATAGATAATAACAGCTCTTTTAATTATTATACATCTTTCGCCAATCTCCGTCCATATAAGCCCTATCTTAATCAATATGTTCCTGCAAATGAGATACAAACTATGTACGCTTATTTTTATTAACTTATGTCGCTCCCAAGATATTGCCACTTGAAGAAAACCCGCACAAAAAGTGGATTTATACTAATTTTACTTTAAAAGTGTCATGCTTTTGGGTTACTTAAACATACACAGAACGAACTGAATGAATCAGAATGGCTGCGCCACATAAAACTTCTAACGAAAATTTTCCGTTGATTAAATAATTCACTGTTATGTTTTCCGTGATTTTATTCGACGATTACAAGTTACCGCATTCCATTTGAAGTTAAACTCCAGACGCTTGAACCGACGTAGTGACGTTCAGACGGAGACCTGAGAGTTGACTTCTTTAGACAATAAGCTACCATTACGTACTGAGGTTGGAAGCTCATCTAACCGTCCTTCAACAGCGCACCCTCATGGAGAAATCAACGACATTCGACATGGCACCTGAAGTATTGTACGGAATTCGTTTACCCGTATAGCATTTTGAGGTCACAGCTGATTTTCAACCCTAACTATTAACTTAACACCTTATTTTAATTCCTAAAACTAATTCGTAACTCTATTTTTAAAATGTAAAGTGGTTGAAGTATTTAAAGGCCGCTTCACTATTGCTCAAGTATTACCCATTAATGATAATTTTTCCAAAGAATTGCAAAACCCTAATCTATTACATCACCTAAACAAGTGCACCATAAACAAACAAATCAGCATGATAAAGCAGGTAACTCAAGTCTAGAGACTATTCGTACTCAAAGCTTGCATAAGCTGTATGTAATAATAGGGACAACAAGTAAATATGATGATACAAAGATTGAGAAGTTTGTAACTCTCGACGAGTTAAGCATAATACAATAACGAAAACCACATACCAACACAATCTACCACTTTCTAGCAGACCATCGAACACTGCGCTTACAATTCACTGTCCAATGGATGCATGAGTTACACAATTTTTAGTCTTCAGTGGCCTACGTTAATCTTTGCGATCCTAAATACGATGAAGATTTCACCCGACTTAAAGGACATCAAAATAAAGTGCTGATATAACATTTTTGGATACTTTAAGTGTTGGATTCATTTTTTCCTCGTTCACATTTCTCCAAACTTCGGATTCAATACAAAGTGTAAACTAGGGAAATAGGTATAATTTTTCGTTTGTCCAGACAAACGCTCATAGCTACGAAATTCTGACTCTCAGGATTTGATCTCAGTCATAGTGAGTTGTGGTTTACTCATATCCAGCATTTCCTCACTAGGCACAAAATTAAGTCTGAAAGACATAAATACCTAGCTTCACGCTCTCTCCCTTCCAAGAGTTTTACGACCTAATGTTCAGTCTCTTCAAGTTTCAACCATGTGCTACGTTTTGGCGTGAGATTATGAGCCACCTGTAGAAGCAAGTAAATCCCCAAAGTAAGTAGTCCTGTAATCCTTCGACATTTGCTCTGACCTCATTAGTTTTACTGGACACACCTTAGATGGAGGTGTTTGGCCAAGCATCCGCACGATCAAGTATGCCGTGCTACACAATCCTCTTAGTAACTAGCCAGCTTAGTTGTTATCACTGGGAGGTTGGTGTCAGTTCAATCAGGTGTAGTCATCCATCAACTTGGCAAAAATGGTTTCTCAAGGAGATGGGAAATTAATAAATCCTCCTCAGGTCTCAACGACTGATGAGTGTAATATGAGCAGTCACTTTTTGTGCGTTAAAGGTTAACGTAGTGGTATGCCATGTTGATGATTCCTTGCGACCACTAGCCATCTCGGACGAAAAGCTTCTTGACATATCGATAGCTTTCCAAATATGTCTATGAACCCCCTTACTTCTGACTTCTGATTTGACTGGGCTGGTGTGCTTCGATTATGAAATTGTTATGTGTAAAGATGATTTAAAGTTTCGAATACCTATGTCATCTCTACTCTGCAGCGACGAGTATCAAACTAGAAAATGAAAAAACAGAAAGAAGGAAATTAGGGCTTAAAATGACATCCATAGTGAGAATAATGCTTTCGGATGCGATATCCACCGGCTCAATGGATGGAAAATTCAAGATATTTCGGGCCTATTCGAGATCGAGAGGCACGTTTTAGAACACGTATTTTATACAGATATAAGTTATAAGACATAAATGAATTTTGCCTTTCGGTCTAATGTTTTCCTCCGTAGACTTTACTTTCAATCGCCCTGCATCATGTTTTGGTGCAAAAACAATTCAGTACCATTGACTGATTACATACATAGGGTAGATTCTCATATAACCTTAGTTTTGAATGATCCCTCTATTGTTTCAGGTCACTTTGATGTTATATGGAGTCAAATGGTCAAAGTGGTTGCGGGTCATGAATGAGCAGCACATCACATACAGTGAATAGCCAATCTTGTGAACTTGATTCCATCATTTCACTGTCAAATACCTGCGAAAGTCACTGACCATGAAATATTTATTATCTCCATTGATCGTACTACATATGCAATTGATTACTTTTACAACATTTTCCATGGGCTTTAATTCGGTACAACACTTTTCATGGCACTAGCTAACTGACAGTAGTTCAAATTAAGTGACCATTTAGTGTTAACCAGATAAATCCTTTGCACTCGTGTCCTTTACTCTCTACATGTTTCCAATTATTTTGCGGCGTACAGTGTGAGATAATATACCATACGTTTGCAACATTACTGGCCAAGTCAACGGTTATTTGTAGGTTTATATGTCTGAAAATTCGACTTGGTGCATTTGTCTCAGGACAGTGGATCTTACATTACAATGGATAGGCTCATTTAGTTTTGATGTGAAACATTAAAAAGCTCAACTCCAGGAAAGAGAAAGAAACGATGGTTGTCAGCTGAGATAAATAAACCAATAAATTTCCCAAATAATAAGAATAAACAGACGTTTTAGCAGTAGGCAAGCGAAGCTTAAATGAAACAAAAGGGGCATAAAAAAAGCTAGCGGTACACCATAATATTAGTGATAGATAGGCTACAAGACATTCGCTAAGTACAACTGTTCCGAACGAAAAACCATAGGAGATCTGTAGGTGAGTACGTGATTGTTGTGTCCGTTCTAGGAGGATTACTGTGACTTCGTTGAAGTAATGTTAGTAACAGAACCGATTCCCTATTAGAAAACGTGGGATTGGATCCGATGTTGCTGATTTCGATGAGCTATACCTCGAAAGCCACCCGGTGGATCGAGATAGTGAGATGCCAGTAAAGTGAATGTGTTCACGAATACCGGCGTACTTAATATGTTGTTTGCCATTATCAAATTACCTCTTACTCTCCTGCAGCCACTGTGAACAATCTCAAGGTTTGTCCCTCAGTCTTATAACTTATAGTGTTGCCGATCTCTGTACTTGTTCGGACAGCTTAATATCTCTTTTGGGAGGGAGTGAAAGAACGCCGTGACTTTCAATTTGAGACATATTTTGTGGCTAGTGTTGATAAGAATTTCCGAGATGATACCGCAAACTTGTTTGCACACGAATTAAGGAGTTTTAATTGCTTTGGCTGCATCCTCAGTATATTTTATAAGTTCGCGCTCCTTGAGGATAATTGGTAACGGATCAAAAAAGTGCATAGATTTTCTGGGTCCCATAGGTTTGGATGTTCATAGCGGGACATTTGGATAGCCAAGATTTTAAATCGCTGTCCACCGCACATTTATTCAGTGTCGTGATATCTTCCATGAACCTTCATACTGTGGTATCGTCAGAGGAAAGTAGGGTCCGTGAACCAACTTTATCTAGAAGTTTGTTACTGGAAATTAGAAAAACGAGAGGCCTTCAAATGGTGTTGTGCAAAATGCCTAACGTCGAGGCCAATCATTTTGCGTGGACTCTCTTACCTCAGTGCAGAACACTCAGTTTTATAGGTAATTTCGGGGCCAGTAGAGAACTAGGTCAGTGATATGCAACCTTGTGACCTTCATTATAGAGAAAGCACATAGAACGGTGTTGAATGCATTCATAAAGTTAATGAATATGAAGAGTATCATTCCAGTAAGCTATCAGGCAATTTCCATGGTAAGAGCTTGAGCAAATAGAATCTACCTCGTCTGAACCCATTTTTGGCTTTGTAAAGGATGTTGTTAATAACCACGTATTAGGCTACTTGGTAACTAAGTAGCCCCTGAATAAATTTGGACAGCGATGGAAATAATGTTTCTAGCTCGTAATAAGTCGGATCTTTCCTACCTTTGAAGATCGGAAAAACTAGTGAATCCTCATTGTTATGAGAGTTGTTAAGCCTATAATTTATGTCCAATCAAGTCGTAGACAGGTCGATTAATATCCACTGCTCACTACTTCACGGTCAAAGGTCGATGTTGTCATATTGGGGTAAATTTTCTTCCGGCAAGTATTTCACACTCTATGATACTATCCCGGAAGTTAGGTAGATGTCACTTCAATCTGCTTATGTGTGAGGTGAAACAGCCACTGAAGATTTCTGTCATTACTGGGTTTGCAAAATAATGTTATTAGTCTCTGACAGAAACATTCCTCTGGTTTTTGCTTTTAGCTGAGGAATGGACATCCAGATATACTTCATACTAGTACGGATTTTATTGATTAACTTGGTTTGCATATACCTCTCGTCGCTTCATTATCTAGTGCTGCATTTAATCTTCAGTTCCAGGTAAGAGCTGAGGTTGGAATGCATTCGTATAAATTTCCGTTTGTCAGATTCTCTTTTTAACCCAAACTAAGCATCGCTTCAGCTAATCTTTCTTTCCGAGTGAATTATATGTTAAATTCTTGAAAAATAACCTTCACTATCTCACGGTGGTCTTCTGGTACTGCCTTCCACCACCGTTGCAAACACGGATAGTGTCGTAGATGATCCTCAATAGCCGCATAATGTCCAAGGTGTAATAAAGGTTCCGGGTATTTGCAATCATGATTTAATAATACTAAGCCGCTACACAAATCATCTCTGAAAGTATATAAATACTGGTCCAAAAGATTTACACTGGATTTTAAATACATGACAAAAAAGAGTGAAGGCCAATTAAGGCCAACGATCATTGAGTTTTCGAAGAACGTCTGGTCGAGTTAAACTATATCACAGTTAAGATCTGCCCAAAACCTATGTACAAATTAATCTATCCAGGTTGAGTAGCATGCAACCAAGCGACACAACAAATTATTATTAATGGCTTTATTCAATATTATATTTTGGTACAATGTAGAATTCTCAGCACAGGGTATTTCAACAAGTTACTTGCGCAAAAAACAGTGACAAAGACAAAAAAAGGACAAAAAGGTTAAAAAAACCGAAAAACTGTACAACTTTTCAAATAAGAGACATGGTAAGAAGGCAGATTATTGACACTAGGTTAACTCTAACAACCTGTCTGTCACAGAGTGTATTTGCTGGGTAAGGTATTATAGAACTTTTATACTTCTGCTTGCGTGCATGGATTTTAATGTAATTACGTCTCGTTCTACCAGAAGATATACAAGGAGAAAGATAAGATTGAAGGGGATGGTTACTATCTGATAAAATAACACCTGCCATGAGTTTGCATGACTTTAGATGTCTATCCACAACTATATTAATTATGACCTCGAAAGATTCACCACACATCTTGCTAACTGCCTTCAGCACTCTCCGCAATACAGTAAGGTCTTTTCTCAAAAGCCCGGGAAAGAATAATGGAGAACAGTAAAGAATAGTAGGTAATATGCAAGGATTGACAAATTGTAAGAATAAATGACGAGTAATCCCAAGAGCATGCAATCTCTTTATGTAGTAAGTCAGACGGAAAACCTTCCTCGATAACAATAAAACGTGAAAAGACCAAGAGAGTTCAGAGCAAAAGGTAACACCAAGATAATTGACCTTCGACACTGAGTTTATCAAAGAGTCTCCGATGGTACAAGCACTATGGGATCTCAAAATAG